AAAAATCCATACAAAGTTGACATGAAAATGTTTTTAAATGGGTAAGTCTATCTAGGTTTATAATGCGAAAGCCCTTCTTGGGTCTTAAAGTAATTATTTTGCAAAGATAAAAAGTGGTACAAAGTTGTATTCATATGCCTTGATTGCATATGAATATGAATAAAGTTTCTTAAAAACTTTATTTTTTAAGAAAACAAAATGTAAAAAATCAATGAAAGGAATCAACTTGCTCATTGGATTGTTCTTACCCTTGAGGAAGAAAATTACTCCAGAGACAAGTTCTTTTCCATCTTGAATGAATACTGAATCAGCAGGGATTCCGCCAGGTCCTTATGTGTGTTGATGGAGGTTCTCTGAGTTATATCACAGGAATGTTGATGGCTTCAACTCCAGATCTTTTGATAGTTGAGGAAACTATCTCAAAGCCAATTCTGGATGATTTCCTTTTTGGGTAAATTTGTCTAACAAATTGCTCATTTGATTTAATTGTCATGACAGAAATTAGGAAGCAAATACTCCTTGTTGAATTAGTACATGATCAAAATAAATTACTGCAAGTGGAACTGTTACTCTTTATCTAATTGTGTATGCAATAGTCTGTCTACATTAAACCTCCAGCTGAAGACCCCAACAAGATATATCTCAAGTATTTTTAGCATATTTGATACTATTTGCATTGATGGGTAGTTTTGTTTTTTCATACTTTGTAACAAATTCTCACAAACTTTGCAGCTTAAAACAACACCCATTTATTAGCTCGAAGTTCTTTGAGGTCAGAAGTCTGGGCCTAGTGTGACTGGGTTCTGTGTTTGGGTCTTACACGTGTCACTGGACTGTGTTCCCTTCTGAAGCTTGGGGTTCTCTTTCAAGCTCATATGATGGTTGCAGAATTCATGCCTTGTGTTTTAGGGCTGAGGCCCCTGTTCTCTTGTTGGCTGTGGGATGGTGGCTGTCTTAGCTCCTGGAAGCTGCCTGTAGTTCCTTGTCTTGTGGCTCCTCCATGTGCCCCTTTATGCTCCCGTCAGGAAGATCCCAGCTCCACTAAGGGGTCCTATTAGGTCAGGCCCACTACAGTAATCTCTCTTGATTGACTCAAAATCAGTTGATTGGTAACCTAATCATGGAGAGATATACCATCATATTCACTAGTTCTGCTCACCCTTAAGGGGAGAGAATTATATAAAGAGTGCACATAGAGGTGGTTTTGGGGAAGGGGGACTGTTGGGTACATCTTACAATTCCACCTACAGCAATGGGCAAATGATTAAATTTCAGCTTTCACAAATGTGGAAAGTAATGCTCAAGATAGAAGAAAATCAATGGGAAATGTTAGAGTTTAAGATAAAATTCTCCATCCAAATCACTGCAGATAGTGCCATTTGCTCCATTTTCCCCATCTTCCTAATGAGGTTACTCTAGGACAGCTGTGGAGATTCTTGTACTCTTATCAGTGAGAGCCTGCCAGTGAAACTAATAGGTCATTTGTCATAAACTTTGAGTCACTGACCCAGAGGTGAGACTAACTGTATAAGAAATAAACAAATATGTTCTGCTTGACCCTGTCCCATGGCATGAAAATCTGTCGGACTCCAGTTTCTTTTAATATGACAGAGGCTATAGAGCTAAGACTGACCCAGTGACAGCTTCCCTCTTTGAAAATTCATTTAATAAGTGGAAGTCTACACTTTTTAACTCTTTGTGGTGTTTTGGAGTTTCATAAAGATATCCAAAGTTTTTGTGGGAAGCAGTACATATGTGTCACCTTCACTATCTTGGACATAATCTTATTTGGTCAAAGGGGTGTGATCTTGATTAGACTGAATATGACTTGGCAGCTGGTTGAGTCCCTATGGAGTGAATACTCAGGGACCCTTAGTGCAATCTTCTATAGCATTGCTCCTCTACCCCTCTGCTGTCCCAGGTTTGTGAATTGCTGCAATCTGTCTTCCTCAATTATTGGTAGAGAAAATTACTTTTTTTTTCAGTAGAACCCTTAGTATATTCCTTGTTGCATCTTCATTTCCCTCTCTGCATTTTTCCTTATCTCCTTTCTTCTGGTCTCAGGAGGTTTGCTCCGTTTTCTGTTCTGCTGACCCTCCCTCCTCTGCCATTGCCTTCTGTTCTTGTTCCTGCTGGAACCTTTTCCTACCAGTCTTCTCTCCTTCTCTCTTCTCTTGTCTTTCTTCAACCTTTGCCTCTCTATTTGGTTCTGGATGTCACTTTATATTTACCGAGCTTTGCTTGCTAGACCCGTATTAGGAATTTGTCTCTTACCCTCTGGGGGCTCTACTTTCATTTTTTTTTTTTTTTTAACTTTTTGAAGATAAAGTGTATACTGGTAGCCTTTCTTCCTGTGCTTTGTTCTTCATCTAGTGGTTCAGAGCCTTTTTAATGACTTGGAGTTATTAACCCTCACTTTTGAGGTTCCTTTGTAATCACTGAGACACAGAGAAACTCATGGCATGTTCTTAAGCAACTCACTTTCTCAGTCGAAGAGAAGCTTTCCAGTGTCTGTCCTCAGTGTGCAGAATCATGTGGTCTTGGCTCCTTCATGCTGACCTGTTGCCTGCAGACCTGGGAACTCAGGAGAGAGCTCTCTCCTAACTAACCTAGCCACGGAATGTCAATCAAATCCCAGCTTATCATGTCTCTGCTTTCTTCATCTTTCTCAGTGCTTCCATGAACAAGTCACTTTTCCTTTGTTATTTATGTTCCCTCCATCTTTTATTCCTGCTTCTAAGTTATTTCTAATTGTCCTTATAGGAATAAACCCAAATTTTGACACAGTCGACATTTTCAAAGTTGAAGAAAAGGTCACTGACGTCAATCTGCTCTTTCTAGAATTTCATGTGTGATGAGGGATAACTGCCTGTGTGAACATTCCTCTTTTTGGCAAGGCTCATTGGTGAGATTTGATTTATGTTTAGAAGCAACTTCTGCAAAATCTGAAAAGGAACTCTATTCTTCTTAGAAATTTAATGATTTTGAAGTAAGGATGAACTTCTGTAGCAGCTTCATATTGTCATTTCTTGCCAAATTATCAGTGCCTTTTTATTCTGTTTTTAAAAAGGAAACAGGAAGAGCGAGTACAGCAAGTACGCAAGAAATTGGAAGAAGCACTGATGGCAGACATCTTGTCGCGAGCTGCTGATACAGAAGAGATGGATATTGAAATGGACAGTGGAGATGAAGCCTAAGAATATGATCAGGTAAACTGACACCAGAGAGAGTGACTTGGAACTTAAGATGTTGTGTTTTCTTGGCCGGGCACAATGGCTTCTGCCTGTAATCCCAGCACTTTGGGTGGCTGAGGCGGGCGATCATTTGAGCTCAGTAGTTCAAGACCAGCTTGAGCAACATGGCAAAACCCCATCTCTACCAAAAATACAAAAAATTAATTGGGTGTGGTGTTGTATGCGTGTGGTCCCAGCTACTCAGGAGGCTGAGGTGGGAGGATCACTTGAGCCTAGGAGGCAGAAGTTGCAGTGAGCCAAAATTGTGCCACTATTCTCCAACCTGGGTTTCACTCTGGGTGACAGAGTGAAACTCCATCTCAGGAAAAAAAAAAAATGGTGTTGTTATATTTTCTTGTTATTTTCCCTTTAGCTTCCTCCGCAGTGAATGAAAAAGCTACTCCTCTGCTTGGGTTAGGCATGTGCTGTTGTTTGGTTCTTCTCTCTGGATTGAAGGACCATATAAGTTATTGCATCCTTTTGTTCCCATTCTGGGAGGACATTCACACCCCTGCAGTCACTTGCAAGGGATCTAGTCTCCTTTATTAAAACCAGGTGGAAAACCTCTAAGGTGTCATTAGAGAAGAGCAGCAGCAGAAGAAAAGGACTTTGTCAGGTAGGGAGGAACGGCCCCAGGAGAGGAAGGTGACTGTCATCTCCATCACAGTAGCCTGTGGGGCATATTGCTTCTCTTTAAAGTTATGGTGGCAAAGTAGCAAAATCTCTTTATTTTTCTTAGGTTCTCCCTAGCACAGATTTGATGTGGGGAGAACAAGAAGGACACTGAAAAGCATAATAAATACTTTACCTTAAAAAATACACAATTTTAGGCTGGTTTTGGTGACTCATGCCTGTAATTTCAGCACTTTGGGATGCCAAGGCAGGCAGATCACTTGAGGTCAGGAGTTTGGGACCAGCCTGGCCAACATGGTGAAACCTTGTCTCTACTAAAAATATAAAGATTAGCTGGGCGTGGTAGGATAGCTGGAATTTTGTAATTGTAGCTACTGGAGAGGCTGAGACACGAGAATTGCTTGAACCCGGGAGGCAGAGGTTGCAGTGAGCCGAGATTGTGCCACTACATTCCAGCCTGGGTGATGGAGTAAGACTCTGACTCAAAAAACAACAACAAAAATGCACATTTTGATCTTATCTCAAACTCACATTCCAGGCTCATTGCTCTGTGCCGTGGGCATACTTGTCTTCAGAGGAGCACATGCAGATCTCCAAGGCTTTCTGTTGCGTCTTGCTTCCTGGCTTCCATCCTGCTTTATTTTGGCAGGCCATGTCTTCCTTTTTGCCAACTCAAAACCAATTATTTATTGTTTCCTTTGAAGCCAAAACAGAGGGAGAGATGGGGGTGCTAATGTGATGTCAAGGGTCAACAAAGCCTCTCTGCGAAAGTGACATTTATGTTGAGCCTGAAAGATACATAGGAATGAGCCAGGGGAGGTTTGGGTAAAAGTGTTCCCATTAGAAGGAACA